AAAAAAAAAAAAAAGAAAGAGATCATAAAGTAAAAGAATGTTAGATGTGGTTTCATGAAAATTACAAACTTTTGTATGGGAATTTCAAAGAGCCCATATACAAAAATCAAAAAAGAGGTAAAGGTTAATGTAATTTGGATACCAATGTTAATATAATTTCACTTTATGCACAGGTTGGTGAGGTCTGTGAACAAAGATTATATATCTCAATCTATAGAATCAAATTGGGAGAAAAAAGTATAGAAGGATATATATACCTCCTGCGTGGGTTATACCTGGGTGGTGAGTATACGATTGATAAGTTTTTTCCTTCTATTTTCTTATACTTTTAAATTTAGTTTTTGCAATATCATACATTCCTTACTTCTGTACTTCCATTTGTATTTCCTGGAAATTCTTACGTCACAAATATTAGATACTAAATATAGCTAAGGATCTTGCAGAAAGAGATTTGGATTTAATTTGGCCAGGACTTCAAAGTATCTTGAAGTTTCCTAATCACTGGACTACAGTAGCTAATATTTTAATAGTTCACACTTTGTTCTTTCATCGCATTATAGAATTTACACACAGTCCATGTATAAAGTAATGATCTCACTGCATACTTCTAAATATTGGAATGACCAAGTGTATTAAACAAACATGCAAGGGCCAAAACTGTTGTCTTACAGTCTATTTATTTGCTTACAAGAGGCCAGCTAGGCTGTCTAAATAATTCAGATTTCATTGCATGAGAATATGTGTCCACTAACTTTCTGATATGAAAATTATATAATTCTCATATGTGATAACTATATCTTAAGATACAGAATATGAGAATTATATCTTCATAAATATGACCTAACTCTAGTGCTTTTCCATTTAACTTTGCTCTAAGAATTTTTTTTTTCCTTAGGGAGCATGTGGAATTTTGTAAATTAGTGAAATAAATATTAATTACTGACATGTGTCCTAATATTTTCTACTTCAGGAACTTACAATAATCACTGTGACATGTCTCCACATGGTTTAAATTTTCTGGAGTCCATGAAAATATACTGAAAGCAAGAGAGATAGCGATGATGGTTTAACTGGCATCTCTAGACAAATTATTCAAAAGGAAACATTTCTTTCAAAGGGAACAGTGTCCTGGAAAGAGCCTGGTCTTTGGAAGCAGACAGACCTAGGGTTCAACCCGGGCTCCCTCACTTATAGTCTCTATGTTCTTGGGCAAATTACTTGACCTCATGAGTTTGTGTTCATACCCGTAAGATGGGCAGAGTACCATCCATTTTGTGCCCATTATTGAGGGTATGTATTTAAAGTACCATGCACATGGTGGACACTCAAAAAATGGTGACTATTATTGAGGGTGGGGAAAGGATGACAAGGCTGCCATGCTGCCAGGAGAAAGCAGGCTGACTCGCCACCAAGAGGCTCACAGAGGAGGAAATGTAATCCCAATGAATTTACTTCCATCCTGGGGTGAGGCCAACAAGCTGGAAACTGAATGATCACAGAGAAGATGACTCACGCTATTCAAGTTCTGTCAATGGTTAAGGGATTTAAGGTAGAACATACTCCTTTCTGGTGCCTGAAATGATCACATCCCTCAATCAGGCACCCTCTTCCTTCTATCAAAATAACTCAATTATTTTAGGAAGGATGGACTAAGAACAAAGAGAGTGGTGAGGCCTGGGGACTCTCCCCATTTTACCACCAATCCCACCTCACTAGCACACAGAAATTCCGTACTTCCCAGAGCTGGGGTCTCTCCGCAGGTGGTACCAGACAAATACTGCCACTTCTGGAACCTCTGAGCTTTCCTTTTTCGTTGTTCAAGGATAACAATCCACCCTCATTCCATCCGCACAAATCTCCCCCAAAAGAAAAATACGAAGCATTGGTCTCCACATAATAAAATCACTTCTAGTCCTTCCCTCTTTCCCTCAGTTATAGCAAGATTACCTTCATGAAAGTGTGGGGTGTACCCTTAGATAGCCAACCTCATCAACTGTGTGGAAATTTTACTAGGATAACCCTAAAGAACTATCTGATTCTCCTGTTTCCAAGTCCTTAAAGGAAACTCACTACTTCCTCATGCAATACTGAAGCATTTTTACAACTGTTTCTGTCGATTGGATGGATGGATGGATGGATGGATGGATGGATGGATGGATGGATGGATGAACACTGAGTAGATGGAATATGAAAAGAATGTAGAAACACTGTGCTGAACATCAGCAACGAATGAGTCCTGGTGTCTTATGTGGCACCTAGAATGATGAAAACTGGGACAAAAGAAACTTGATCTTCTGACTTACGTTCATTGCCAGACTTTGGATTCAAGAAATGCAAAAGCAAAGAACTACATTGAGCTTAAAGAGGAGAGAGGGGCCGACCCCATCGCTCACTCTGGAGAGTGTGGTGCTGGGAGCACTGAGGCTGCAGGTTCAGATCCTGTATAGGGATGGCCAGTGCACTCACTGGCTAAGCGTGGTGCAGACAACACCGTGCCAGGGTTGCGATCCCCTTACTGCCATAAAAAAAGAGGAGAGAGGCCGTTTAGTCAAAAGCAGCCTCTCTTATTCTTTCAGTCTTTTTATTAATAATAAAAGTTCATCTTTAACCAAGAATTCACTGAGGTTTTAGTACATTTTGGTCTCTTATAAGTACTGAATTGACTGTCCTCTAAGCCAAAGACTTAGCTCTGTCCAGACTGACCTTGAACAATTCACTCAGTTCTATTAAACGTTTTTAAGTCTCCCTCTCTGTAAGAAGAGGATACTAATTTTAGCTCTCAATCCTCCCTCAGGAATGTTGTAAGAAAAGAGCAACAGCATATGGGATGTAGTGCAAGCTCCTACAAAGACAGGCCTGTCCATGGATTTACATGATGAGAGGAGAGAAATGGGCAATATTCTTAGTATCATGCTGCTTTTCTTCCTTTTGAACATTTCTCTGGTTAAAGTTAATGGGAAACTAACACACATGCCTAGCAGATGTAGGTCATGCTGCTCTCTGAAATCAGTAACTAGCTTGCTCATGATTCTCCTTTTGGGGACTCATTGAGCCCAACCCTGTTTTCTAGAGAAGAATAGGAAATGCAACCATAAAGGTTCACCTTGTTTAAAAAAATGCAAATAATGCATACCTAGCATCACCCTGAGAATCAGCGCCCTCTTCTCCACCAGCCCTCTGAGCAATGCAATTCTGTACACACAATGCCACAGCAACTGGAGGTAAGCAGAAGGTTTTCCTTAAAAAAGCTCCCAGGAGCAGTCAAAGACAAGTGGCAACTCCCAGCTGGCCACTGGAATGTGGTCACATTATTCTATGAGGATGCAAAAAGCAACATTCTGTAACCAGTGGAGCCCTTGTGACAGTGACAGAGCTTTCACTTGGGCTGTAATCAAATACAGTGCTTAAGTGCATTGTGTTTTAGAGAAAAAATACATAAACAAACAGCTCTCTCACTCACTCTCTCTCTCCTTTCTCTCTCTCTCTCTCTCTCTAACATGATGCAATGGAGACACAACAATATCAAATCATTTAAAAACCATCTTTGACCCACTGCTTGTTCTATCAGAACACTTTCAAAATTGTTAAAGTAGGAATTTTTTTTTAAATGAATAATCTGAAACACACAGTGCTGTTCTTTTATCAGATCACATTGTTTTATCTTCCTTTTCTTCATATCGAGAAAGAAAATGTTAAGATTTTTAATTAAAAAAAGAACATTATGTTAAATGTATGTTCTGGAGCCTGTGAGCAAATGCACACAGTACCTATGCAGGGGAGAAACAGCCCTGGAACATGACCTCGCCCACTGTGGGGAGCATTCCCACCCGATTTCTATATACAGCCACCCCATTCCACAAGCACACACTACCCTCCACCACGTCCCCATGCACACTGTAATCTCATGCTTGCAGACATTGGAATGCTGTAACACCACCCTGAATTTGAGAAATTCACAAGAAAAGCCAAGAGATGGTTTCCTGATTGAATGAAAAAGGCTGGTTCAGTCAGCGGTGGCGCTCTGTGGCAGGGCAGGCTCTGCCCAGCTCTCCAGAGTGTGATCTGCATGTCTAATAATGGGACAGGTTCATGGCATCAGCCGCTTACCTTGGAATGCTGCAGCAGAAGTATCTGCTCATCAAGCTGCTGTCGCTTGCCTTCTATTTCGGTCTGCCTCTTTCTTTTTTCCTTGAAAAGAGAGAGAGACAGGCTGTAAGAGTGGGTGGGTGTTGGCTCCAGGAATTTTAAGGCAGGAAGCAGCAGCAGCAGCAGCAGCAGCTCACATCTGTACAGACACTTCCAGAGGCACTGGGCACACACGCAGAGTCACCTGCCACACCATCCCCGGGTGTGTGGCAAGCAGCAGCTTTCTCCTAACATGTCTGCTGTGGGCTCGATGAGTGGGAGAAATTCTCCTCACTCAGCCAGGCTGCAACAATTTAATCCAGAGGCAGTTTCTAAACACACACACACACACAAGGCAGTTTCTACACACACACACACACACACACACACACACACACACACACACACCCAGAGCCGTGTTCTGTGCAGTGTTCATTTGCAGACCAGGAATAAAAATGTCTCAATCCAAAAGACACGGGTTGTTACAAACTGCAAATATGACAGACAGTGGGAGATTCCAGGGTTAGATTTCTTTGATCAAATTCATATATGTAAATAATCCGACATAATTTCACATTTTGTAGGACAAATCATCCAGTTGGACATATGGAACAATGCAAATTAGACGTTAAGATTAGGTGATCTTTTCTTCAACTAGGCTTGGAGAGAGTATTTCACGTGGGTGGAGCTTGCTGAGGTTATGGTAAATATGAAGTCTGGAATCTGTCTGCCTGGGTCAAACTCCCAGCCTTCCCACTTGCTGCTTGTGCGACCTCTGGCAAGTTCCTTACCTCCCATCCTGGATCTCAGTCTTCTCCCAAATAAAGTGGAGATAATAATTGTACCCAAACCATATGGCTGGGGTGTGGATTAAATGAGATCATATATGTAAAGGGCCTAGAACAATGCCTGGCACACAGTAAGCACTCAATCAATGTTATTTGCTATTATTCTTATTGCCACATGTTTGTTTCCAGGTAATGCCTAGAAGCTGGTCTTAAAGGCCTGGCACACAGTAAGCACTCAATCAATGTTATTTGCTATTATTCTTATTGCCACATGTTTATTTCCAGGTAATGCCGAGAAGCTGGTCTTTGCTATTATTCTTATTGCCACATGTTTGTTTCCAGGTAATGCCTAGAAGCTGGTCTTAAAGAAACATATTTCCCTTGTATTTCCAACATAACCTTTCCATTAGCATGTACACTTAATATTTTTCTTCTCCATATTTCTCCAATGTAGACAATAAACACTCTACAAATGTGATTCACAAGAACAGAAAGGCCTGCCCTTAGGAAAGCTGACTTGTTAATGTCTTGTTTCCAGTGTGTACAGGGGTGGTTTACTGAGACATTTACTGCACCAGATCATTTTCCTTTACTCACATATGCAGGGAGACACTTGTTAGACAAGACATAATAGCATTTTACTATACAACAGCCAAACCCTAGAGAAGACGATAATGTATAAGCCTGGCCGCTGTGCTCTGTGTTAACGGAAGCTTTCATTTTATGCAGTTGCTATGTTTCTGAGGAAGTGATTGCAGAACTGCTATTCAAAAGAATGTGATAACAATTTGTGTTATAACCAAGGTTTTCTGTGCAATGCACAGACTATAAGAAATACTAGCTCATAACCCTGAGTCACTTGAACAGGGATATAACCTACCTACCAAGGTGAGACCCATGAATATTTTATGATAGGAACTTACCATTTACCAAAGAACTCCAATGAACTGTGCATAATTAATGCTACTTAGTCCCAGAGTACACCCAAGAACATATAATATATTACAGTAGATGGAAAAAGCAAGGCTCAGAGGGAAGAGCCCACCTATCTGGCATCTCGAGGTGACATGATAAAGCGAGGACCTCCACAACCAGCCGCTATCTCTATATTCTAGGATTTCTCAAGAGTAAGTTTACTGGACTTTATCATTCATTCCCACTTACTATCAAGATATGTAGTTGTCCTACATTTAAATTCAGAACCAAGATATAGTATGTCATGGATACGAGACTTTGATGACTCAGTACTTCCACAAATGTTAATTGAGTGCTCTGTGTTCTCATTGCACATCCTGTCATTTGCAAACCTCTCCCAGGCTTTCCCAGCTCTGTGCCTTTGTCCATATAGAAAGTTCTCACTCCATCATCATATTGGTAAGCCATTTTCTGAACAGAAGAAATACCAGCAGATGGTACGAGCCCTGGATCTTTATATGCTCGAGCAGTAGACTTATTGCCAATCACTGTAAACTCTTATGGTCACGAAGGAGGTAGATTTCAATTAGTCCGTTTAGAATGTGTAGGATTTTGGTAGATACAGATCAATGGGCAGCACATTCCAGGCAAAGGGATCTGTTCAAGCAAGGATAGAAATGTACTGCATATTCCAGGGACGATGAGGAAGAAAATCTAAGTGGGGAACAAGGGCTTGCCTTTAGGAGTAGAGATCAGTGGTTCAAAAGATTGGCTAGGACTAGACCATTGAGGGCCTTGAATGCCAGGCCAAAAAGTTTGGATTTTTATTGTGTGGGCTATGCGATGTCCTTACAGAGTTCTAAGCAAGAGAATAATATGGTGAAGTGGCAATTCAGGAACATCAATCTGACATGGGTATATAGGATTACAGAGGAGTCAGGACACTTTTCCTGTAAAGGACCAGATAGTAAACATTTTAGATTTTGCAGGACATACAGTCTCTGTTGCAACTACTCAGTGCTGCCATTGCAGTTGAAAAGCAGCTTCAGACAATATAAGTGAATGAGTATGGCTGTGTTCTAATAAAACTTTATTTACAAACACAGGTCATAGTTTGCTGACTTCTGGATTAAAAGATCATTAAGTGCCTGAGGAGGATGCTACGTTCACCCCGTTGTGTAGTGGGGATGCATGAACCCACAAACCCATTCGAGCTGTACCAATCAGAATGGAAAAAGGACAAATATAAAAGCCAGAATTGATGAGACTCAGGCTAATAGGATCTAGAGGGTGAGGTAAAGTGGTGTCTTGGCTTTGAGCCACACAGACCAGAGAGTGCCGGCGCATGAACGCATGAACAGCAATAGTGGGAAAGCGATGAGGCGGAGCCCGTTTGTGCTGTATTCATATCCCCCCTGGGGAAACGCCTTACTGGGTTCAAGTTTGAAAACAAATAGTTGTTAACATATATAAGCAGGCAGAGGCATTAGCATGTTCACATCTGTGTTCTGACTGATGCAGACCCTGGATTTGGCTCCAGAACAAGGACCTTTTGTGCATCTACAGCTGTTGCAGGATTCTTTGACTACCTGAGTCCTCTTCAACAGTGATGGCATTAGGTCCCAAAAGCACGAGATACGCAATCAGCCTCAGTTCAGAGTTAGATATGCATCTAATTACACAAGCTTGAGTGTAATTGTTCACCATTGAGGAACTCACCTCAGGTTCCTGACACTTGCTTCTTTGGACTGCTGAGATCCTCCCCTGGCTAGGCTGCTGGTTCCCAGATTTCTCCTTCTCTTAACCAAGACAAAACCAGTAACTCTTAGGCCCCTCCGTCTCATCAAGCCTACAACTCTACCTCTCCTTTGAGCTCCACATCCCCATACCGAATGGCCACTGTTCAGAGCCACTCCCTCAAACTCAGCACAAGCAATCACCATCTCAGCCATCCCCTCCCCACACCTTTGCACCTATTCCTTCTTCTATATTCTTCATCTCAGCAAATGATGCTACTCAAGTCAGAAACCTGAGTCATTCTAGATGTTCACTTTCTTGAAAGACCAAATCCTGTGGATTCTGCTTGCCATTTTCCACATTTTTTGCTTCCCCACTATAACCTCTAGTACTGCCTTAATAGACCCTCCTTTAGCTCCCCACCCACATATGTGGACTATTCTGCATCAGCACTTCTAGCACTTAATTAATTAGTACTCGAGAACTTAATTGTTTAACCTCACCTCCATCTGGTTTCCTTATAATCTTCCTGCCTCCAAGTCTTGGCTTCTCCAAGTCATCCTCCACATTGCTGCCAGAGTGATATTCTAAAATGGAAATCAGACCACCTCCATCCCTTGTCTAAAACCCAGAATATCTCCCCATTGCCTACAGTGCAAAGAGAAAGTTCCACAGAGTGGCCAGTGAGGCTACTACCTGTCTCATGACTTCATCTCAAGCTATGACTCCCCAACCATATGCTCCAACCTCAACGAACTGCTTGCAGACTCCTGATCTGCCAGGCTGGTTCGTGTCTTCCTGGTTTTGCTCTTACTGCTTCCTCTAACAATAATGGACGTCTCCTACTGCTTCACTTGACAAAGCACTATTCTTCTTTGACAGCGTAACTTAAATATCAAGGAAGCTATAGTGACCATGTGTCAGTTTTGATCTGCAGTCTTCCTTCCTTTGGGAAAAACATCTGTCCTCAGTGTAAATGGCACTGGTATGAATGCCAGTCATGGTTAGTCACACATACCCCAGGCCATCCCTGCTACCACCAGGACTTGCCTGTGAGCCAGGTGAGGCCAATCATACTACCTTATCTCTTTACAATGGATCCAAGGGGTGGCTAGGTGACCCAAGCAGGACCAATAAGACACATTTCGAGGGGCAGACACATGAATACTGGGAGAACAAAACCTCCCTTTCTGCTAGGGTTAAGCCAAGATGATGTACATCTGAGTGGTGATTTTCCCAAGCCACATGGAAGAAATGAATCTCTGTTGGAGGAAATGAGGTCAACACGCAGAGGGAAGCAGAGTTGAAAGACAGAAAAGAATCCTAATACATTGTCTGAGTCCCAGATATAGTCATGCATGAAGCCAGAACTATCCCTGGGATTCCTAAATTATAGACAGTAATAAATCTCCCTTTTGCTTCTGCAAGTTGGAGTGATGTTTCTGTCATTTACAACTTAAAGACTACCAACAAATACAGAAGACTTTTCTCCCCCCTCCAGTGAGACCTCATTGCTCCCTCCTTTCTCCCCATTCTTCATAGGCTTCATAGCGCATTTTTCTACATTAGTCCTCTGAGCACTTTAGCACTTTATATACTTAACTGTTTATACATCTCCCTCTACCAAACTATGGTCTCCTTGAGGACAAGGATCTTGGCTGACACATCCCTAAAGCCTAGAATGTTGCATGTTGAATGGAACACATGTAATAGATGCCTCTTGGTGAGTATCTCTAATGAACAAACTGTCCTTTTTCTTCTCTGATTGTGTTTCTGTTTGTCCATATCCCTCATTCAAATGCATTATGAATTTGCACTCATAATTTCAATGGCAGCAAAATATATTACTGAAAACACATTAGCCATCAGTCCATAAAACCAGAAGCATCCTCATGTTGAAAACATTAACCCATATGGAATAGATCACTGTTGCTCTGCATGTGAGAAAAGAGTAGAAGAAAGCTAATTCTGGGAACAAATCATAGAAAGCTCATTCTGGAAGGAAAGGCTGGGGTAAATGGAAATTCCAAGGAAAAGCATAATGAGCTGACAGTAGCAAACCATGTGTCTCAAGAGACATGTGGAGTGAAGTGATCTCAATCCATTAGGAAGAGTTCCAGATCTCTCCACTATCTGGGAGGCCTAGCAAGCCACTTTCATTGTCTTTCTGTAAATTATATATTTCCCTGGCAAGTATTTTCTGGAAGTATTGCAACATTATGAACACTCCATACTATCAGTATAGTAAGAAGCATCTGTAGAGAACAGAGCACACTCTGTTCAAAGGTGATTAATAAATATGATGGAAGATAGGTACTGTAAGTAGTTAAGGAAGCCTATCCCTGCCTTTGTGTTACT